ATTATTATTATTATTATTATTATTATTATTATTATTATTATTATTATTATTATTATTATTATTATTATTATTATTATTATATATTATTATTATTATTATATATTATTATTATTATTATTATTATTATTATTATTATTATTATTATTATTATTATTATTATTATTATTATTATTATTATTATTATTATTATTATTATTATTATTATTATTCTTATTATTCCAATTACTATTATTATTATTATTATTATTATTATTATCTATTACTTATTATTATCATTGTTATTATTGTTATTAATATTAGTTAAATTGATCATATATTTGGAAAATTTGTGTGATAAACATTGTTTATTTAAATTTATTAAATTCATCAATCAAATTTTTAGTGCTGCTATAAACGAAATTTTTTTTTTTGAAAATTCGAAAAACTGCATAAAATCATCAGAAAAAAAATTATTTCTTGAAAAAATAAAAATTGATTTTTGCTAAAACACCGGTCGAAATGAGCAGGAGTTGATCAAAATTATGATAATTATTTAAATTTAATATGTTTCAGTTGTTTGTAAAATATCATTTTTAGCAAAGAGAAGTGAATTTATGTCGATTAAAATGATGATAATTATGATAATAATCAAACAATAAGATATTTATTTAGTAATTTAAGATGCTAAGATTTTTTATAAAGAAAAAACATTCATTTAATTATTAAGCATTTAAAAATAATTAATTACTTTTTTTCAAAGATTATTTTGACAAAAATATATTGTATGTTTATTTTTGAATATTCGTTTTCCTTATGAATATGTGAAATGCGCTTTTTTTGGTACTTTAAATATGTATTTATTTATTTGTTTGTTTGTTTCTGATATAATATGTTGATACAAATAATGATACAATCTCATTCCAATTCAATTTTAAAATTTAAAATTTAAAAGGAAAATTTTCTTTTCCTTGTTAATAGTTTTTATGATTACAGCTGGATGCTATTTGGAATAATAAAGTAAAATAAAAATTTTTTTCAAAAAAAAAAGAAGAATAATTGGATAAATTTAGCAATATTTTTTTCCAAATAGAGTATCAAGAATTGAATTGAATTCATTTTAAATTTGTGTTTTGAATCCTTAAAAATTCAATTCAATTCATCCAAAATATATGAATGCTTTGATTAATAATTAGGTAAAAGTTTACTCCAAAATAAATAAAAATTTGTTGGCAGCAAAAAATAAATAATGAAAAAAAAAAGCGAAAAAAAAAAGATAAGAAATTGAATTAAAAATTTGAAAACGAACAAGATCTGTTAAAGAACAGAAACAGAAAGGAGTAAATAACTTTATTTAGAAAGAATTCATCTTCTTCACTGCAATTGTTTGGTGATAATTTGAAATTTATCACATCACTTTCATATATCTCCAATTTATGGTCGGAAAACGTAAAAAAAAACGCGGAAAAACGTGAAATAAGTGGATCAAACGTGATGTAAAATCAAAATGAGTGCAAGGATAAACTCAAATATCAATATTTATTCATTATTTACATCAAATTTTTGCAATGAAATAACTAGAAAAATGGGAAAAACTGGAAAAAGAAGAATGAAATAATTGTTGTAAATGAAAATATTATTTGTTGAAATAATTTTGGAATATTTCTTTTCCACTTTAAAGAAAATTAGTATTAATAGATATTATCAAAGTTTGCCCAATAATAAAATAAGGCATTTCAGGTTTTGAAAATTAGATAAAAAGGGGAGGGATAATAGGTGAGAATGATAATAATTGCAAGATAATAATTTGAAATTTCATATAAAGACGAAATAGGAGGAAGAAAAAGAAAGGGAGAGAGAAAGAGAGAGAGGGAGAGAGAGGGAAAGAGAGAGATCCATGACCAGTTTTTATATATTAGCTCGAATTCATTTTAAAATGATTATGACAAATCAAATGTTTTAATGACATTCTAAAAATTTGGGTAAAAAGATGAGAATGCTTAATGGTAGCTATTTGCAATAACTTTAATTAATTAATTATTAATTATTGTAATTATTGTAGTGTAATAAGTAGTGTAGAAATGAAATATATATATATATATATATA